CCACCAGGTCTCATAATATTCAGAGTACTGGGCGACACAAATAGATCAAATGTTATGGTGGTCATGTTTTAAAAAGCAAATTAGAGTGAAAATGTGGGAAATTTGCATGAATTGAAATTAACAGACATAAAGTAGACACTCTGTATTATGAAAAAATGCCAGAAAATTAAAAACTTCAATCAAATTTTTGAGAGAAAATAACCATATAACAGAATGAGGATTTAAGCAGACGGCTAACCAGGACAAAGGTGACGTTAAATTACAAAGGTATTTCCTCCACAGACCACAGAGTGCCTGCCACAGGTATCTTGAATCTCAAATATTAATAAAATCCAAGTTCATGACACTTTCACAATATAAAATTGGAGGTTAAATACTTTTAAATTATTAATACGTAAAATACATAAAAACTGTATTTCAACTTAACATTTTCTCTTCTAGAATATAACAGATCAATAAAGGTATTGTTTGTTTGGTTTGTTTGTTTGATAATTTGTTGCTTGTGTTGTTGCTTGACAAGACCATAAAATAACACATGTCTCAATGTCTCCCAAAGTTCATACTCTTATCTTTGGTGTCCGTGACTTAACAATATGGGACCTAATGGGCAAGTCTAGATGTACACATATTTACCATGGACCACAGGTACACACATGTGTCTCAGGTATTTGATACTCTTATATAGTGCCTGGAAACCAAAGACACCCTGACATATGAAGACATTCTGATCTCAACGTCTAAGCATCTCTCATGTAGCCACAATGACCATATAGATACTCACGAGAATAATTTACTTTGGGTGGGTCATGTTTTTGCCTTCCATGGTTTGTAATAACCTTTTATCTTTCTCCCTTTGGCGCATGAGCTCATATTCAAAGCATGTTTTGAGTATTAATGCCCCAATCTCTGTGCAATTAATTATGCATCCATAAAACATAATGTTTTATCATTTGTTTGTTTAATGTTTCGTGTGTCATGTGATCATAAGTTTTCACAGCGACCAAATAGAGTTCAAGAACTAGAGCAATAAATTCCTAATTGCTTCTGAATCAAAATGCAAAGATTTCTTGGAAACAATCCAAGAATATTTCACCATCCACGAAAGAAAGATCACAAATGTCATGTTTAAAGTACAAAATAGAATGGAAACACCAAGGAATATACACATGTAGTTATCAATCCGAATCGTGTAGAAATGTATGAAAGTCAGACACTTCGTTAAAATCTTAGATCAAGAAAAGGGGAGTGAAATAAGTAAGCACTGAGATGAATGACGTGAGGACATCATCATGTGATTAACGCCATTAAAAATTCTTTCCTAATTAATATATACAAACAATGATCATGAGTTGCTCAATTTTGTTGTTAGATAAAATAAACTTAATTCTTGGTTGTTATCCAGGATAGATTTTTTCCTAGTTTCTCCCCAGAGGAGGTATTCTCCCACAGGGCATTGTTGTTTGTGTTATTGGGCAGCATGTTAACCTGATTAGAGGGATGATGGGATGAATGAACCATCATTGCTTGGTTTATTGTCCTCAGACCAGAATAATAATAACATTTTCAAAACATGAAATTGCATCTTTTTATCAAAATTCACTGAATTCTAGGTTCTGGGTTCTTTAAAGTTTCTCTAATGTTTCCCTTTGTGTTTTATTACAAATCCTTTCATTTGTTTCATTGGTGTGGAAGCACAATACTTAGATCAAGTATGATATTAAATCAGAATGTCATATTCCAAATAAACATAGTTTGTCATGTCCCAGATTGTGTTCTTGAGCTCCTACTCAAACAATGAACAAGTCTTGTTTGGCATCCACCCACCCATCCACACATACAGATGAATACACACGCATCAGCACAAGATGACGACAATAGAGCAATTTGAAAAAGTGTGATAAAAACTGGTTTGATTCATTTTAAAAGGAAATGATGATAAACACTGAAAATTTTTGACATATTACTGACCATTTAGGTCTACAAGCTGCAACAAAGATACAAAAAATAGAACTGCGTGTGGTGGCTAGAAATTATTGTGACGCCAAATCTTACTTGAGTTGTTTTTTGTTTTGTATATAAGGACATCTAATGGATTTGAGCTGGGTTTTTTGTTTTATAGATGAGGACATATAACCCTACAGCACCTGTATCAATATCAATTTTATTCATTCATTGGATCTGTCCTTAAAATTAATCTGCACCCCTTCCATGTTGAATTGTTGATTTTCCCCAAAATGGATTCTCTTAGTTTAATGCACAGATTCAAAAAGTGCCTCATGCAGGAACTTTAAAACATGTTGATATACATGGATAAATCACCCAATGAACTGTATTTCTTGTGGATGTGCTCCAGACTGACTTGTTGATTTTTTCCAGAACTTCAGAATGAAAGCTACTGCCGGCAGGCTTGATTGGTTTACGTTAGGTAGCCTTGTCCCAAAGAGAGCCTGACCCAAGTGCTTTTGTCTTCTGTTGAGAGCTTGCTTGGAATTTATCTCTATCTGATATTTCTTGAAACTAATGAGTTTTCCTCAAAATTATGATTTGGAAATATCACATTGGGTATTTCAATATATTATAAACCTAACTTTTACTTATTTGGCAAATATCCATCATTGAATTAAAAACAATTTTGAAAAGAAAGAAAATGTTACTTATTTTCCATTCTTTGAATTTCAAAAACGTGGCAACGGTTTGGTAATCGTGAACCCACATATACTGAAAGCACCAGGATCTCTTTTAAGCCCATTAACAATAAATGAATTAACTCTTAATGATAACAACAATGAATTTATCAAAACCTATTAATTATACAAGGAGAAAACATCCTTGTTATAAGACATTCACTTAAACGTTACTACAAACACTTTTATAACTTGGCACAAAAGTTTAGGCTTTTGTCACAAGAAAAGTGTCATAAAGTCATCCTTTTTATAAACTATTTCTCATAAAATCTGAATGGCATTTCTTTATTTTGAGCCATTTTCATACAATTTAGACCATTTACTATAGTCTGTCTATTTCATTCATTGCTGATTCCACTCTTTTGGGCTCAATTTCTCATTTTAAAACATGAACAACGTGAATTTTTTCTCACAGGTTATCAAAAGAACTTTTCAAGAAAGACATTTGGTTTCACCACAACATATGCCTTTATCTCCCTATGGTTTTTAAGTTCAAGTTTCTACCTGATATTTAAAAGAATGGGCTTCCTTTTTTAACCTTTGTATTTATTTTGTCACCGCAAGCCTACAAATTGCACTTATGGTTGTGATTTTAGACATGTATCATGTTTAAAATCTGTCAAAAAATAAGGTATATGATAACTATAAGAAAAATTACACGCAGTTAGTCAATTATAAATTAGAATGTTTCCTTCAATATGAACAAAGAATACTTGTTTTTACAAGTATATCTAATGAACTTAAGAATTTATCATTCCTTTCTAAGATCTTTTTTTCATTCACAACACCTTATGCCTAACACTTTGACACATTATCAACAACCCATTAGAAAAATTACAAGATAACCATGTTTCCAAATGTAAAACAAGGTGAAAAAGAGTGGAATTAGCAAGAAATAAAGTAAACAGGCATGTAGTTAACACTCTAAATTGTATAGAAATATAAGAAAATCAGATTGCTCATTCAAATTTTAGAGAAAAAGCATAAAAAGGAATGAACGTGATGATAATTTTTTCATGAGCTTGCACTGACATTGAACTTTGATAATAAATGTTGTATTTTTTCAATGAAAGGAAAACCGTGATGACATTTAGCACTATAATATAAATATAAAAATGTTTTGTTCGCACTTATTCTTTTATTTATTTATATTGAATGATTGAGTTTATTTTATGATAAGGTGATTTTACGTCAGATCACGTCACCTAGTTTCACGTCACGTTTTTACAACTCCGTATTGATAAACCCTTAACTTTAAAAACCAAACACTCTTAAAAACAAACATTGCAAAAGAATTGAAAATATGCCAATAAATCCACCTCACTTTCTATTCTACTAAACTCACTTTAACACAAGTGTTTCAGAGTGTATATAGCCTCTATATATCATTACAAATGATGTATTTGATTGTACTGCGAATTTTGCACTTGTTCTCAACCATCCTAAATATTGCTATGAAATAAATCATAATTGTTTTTTTCAACCTTTTCCTTTCAAAAAAGATGAGCTACCCTGATTTTCACTTTTCCTTCAAAAAAGATGAACTACCCTGATTTTCACTTTTCCTTCAAAAAAGATGAGCTACCGTGATTTTCACTTTTCCTTCAAAAAAGATGGGCTACCCTGATTTTCACTTTTCCTTCAAAAAAGATGAAATACCCTGATTTTCACTTTTCCTTCAAAAAAGATGAGCTACCCTGATTTTCACTTTTCCTTCAAAAAAGATGAGCTACCCTGATTTTCACTTTACACTTCAAAAAAGACATGAAAGATGAGCTACCCTGATTTTCACTTTTCCTTCAAAAAGATGAACTACCCGGATTTTCACCTTTCCTTCAAAAAAGATGAGCTACCCTGATTTTCAAAGGCCAGAAGTAATTAGATGAAGTTCAAAAGGATATGGGTAAGATATATGTTACGTAAGTGTTACTTATCAAACTTATCTACATTGCTTTATTCTACATGATCAAATTCCATCATCTGAACTGAGAGGGTTGTGTTTTCAAATGTAAAAATGTGAGAGAAAGAGTGGAATCAGCAAAAAAATAAAATTAATAGGCATGTAGTTAACATGTTAAATTGCATAGAAATGCCAAAAAATCATGACATTTATCAAAATTATAGTGATATAAATCCTAGAACAGACAGGACCACATTTTATCAAGATAGATAAATAAAAAATACAACATATGACAATACATAATGTACAATGACCTTAACAATCAAATAAAAATAACCTCATAAAATCAAATTGTTTCAAAATAAGTTAAAAAAAATGTTCTTACGTTGGTCGTTTGTCAACTGTTCCATATGTATAGTGGAAGAAAAGATTTTTCCTGATGTCTTTGCTGATATCGTATTTGACGTCTGATCTCCATCTTCCAAAGTTACCGGGAATAATTCTGGCAGTTTCTGAAATCACACAAATAAAAAATTAAGTACAGTTACCAAACCAAATAAAATTAATTGACAACAAATATCAGTCAAAGAAAATAAATAATGCGATGCTCCTTTCTTATGAAACCTGAAAATGAAATGCTCCAGCATTATGTAATTCTTACCCATTTCAGCAGGATCCGCTGACTTCGCCCTAGGTTTTGGGACACCCCGACGACGAGAATGTGTCACGTGATTAAAGTTTCTTCGTCGATGATCAACATTTGAGTTATAATCATTGTTTATTACATTATTTTTGTCATAATGTTTTTCTGCAACTTTGTGATGATTCTTTGAATGGTGTAAATTGTAAGCATTTGCCACGGTAAGTACAAAAACAAGCAATAACATGCAATTTGCCATTTTGAGTAATATTGAGTATTCTTGAGTGAGTATTCAGTCCTCTTTTCTTCTCTTCTGTTTTTTAAATAAAGAAAAAAATGTTTTTTTCAATAAGTGCAAATTAAGGTATCCAATTTAAACTCTCTCCAAGATCTTGTAAAATAAAGTAAAAATATTATCAAGGCTTTTATACCAAGATTTTTTGTTTTTTAGATTTAATAATCCAGGTTAGGGGCCCATACCCTACACCAACTGGCCCTACATCTGTTTTATATCAAAAATCTCAGATAACACGTGTATCTAATAATCAAACAAAAAAACTGAATCCTGATTGTAAGACTGACAATTAACGGGTCAAAAAAGGTGAAGTGGCTCCTTAAGGGAGAACATTCCAATGTGGTATAAACCAAAGATTCAACCTCCCATAAACAAAATAATCATATTTAGACTTAATGACCTTAAAATTGGAGGAAATCATAAAAAGTGATAACAAAACATTGAAACAAGGAAAAGATTAACCCCAAAGTTTCTAGGTAAGTATTTAATTAGCCTAAATATCCGTGTAGTTTTAACAATGAGGAAGTCTATAATTACGATTACTTAAATTCTTTCGGGAGTCGAGAAATTTTATTGGGAGTCGTAATAAATAAACACAGTCACTTCTAAAGAAAATATGTTCATTTTTGACTTTTGATTAAATCTGAGTCCCTCTTTAATGTAACTATTGAGAGACAGAAGAGCAAGTGTAAACACTGAAATTACAAAACACATCCCCCTCCCCTCTACCTTATTTACTTTCTTTTATAGAAATGGGGCATGTTGGGAGGGGGGTCAAGAGACTTGTACACAGGTGGTAGATATGTTGAACAATTAATATCAGATCATTATGTCTCTAAAAATCATTATAACTTAACCTCTAACTACATACTCGAAAAATCAATGAGTCATTAATATAAAATAGAGCAATATTCTGATTTGCACTGGCTCTCGGAGAAAAGTTGCACTTCATGGGGTGTCATGACCATAGATATCTATATAATTAAGTCAAATTGCCAATTTTCAAAATGATCATGGCGGTCAGGTCTATTTCATGCTTTTTCTCTCTAAAATTTGAATAAACAACCTGATTTTCTTGCATTTCTATATAATTTAGAGTGTTGACTACACATGTGATTATTTTATTCCTTGCTGATTTCACTCTTTTTTCCCTGATTTGTATTTCAAAAATGTCCAGTGTGGCATTTTTCTTGTGGTTTTTCTAATTAATCAATAACCAGGCGCCTGTTTGATACATTAAAATATTTCATGACTTATAACACAGGTCACATTTTCTTCTTAAAATATCAATATAGAATTAAGAGATACTTGTACAAAATTTAAGAGACCTAAATGAGAGATACTAGGTTGCCAATATGAAAACAAAACAAATATCTTTTATTCATTGGGTTCTCTTACATTCTGTTTGAATCGAATTGCATCATTATGATAAAGTTGATCGAGTCTCTTTTTACAAGTGTTTCTCTTGTAATGAATTCTTGATAACTCACCCCCCAGATAGTCAACATTAAGATTTCACAATGAATAGATTATTTTACCAATATCTGGTGCTTAATATCCTCACACCCCTCTTAGAAAAGATAATAATCTCATCTCAAATGATAACAATTTCTAATCCTCACACCCCTATAATGATCAACTCTCCAATCTTACCTCATATGAGACTGACTCTAACACCCCTAAAATAATGAATGATTCCATCTTACCTCAAGCAAATCCAAACTCCCAGTCCAGCCTTCCACCCCTATAATGATAATAAACTATCCAATCTTACTTCAGCTGAAACCACTATCAACCTTACACCCCTCTAATAATGGACTGATCCCTTTCTACCCCCAGGTGACTTTGACTTGGGAGATCAATCAATATATAATAGGTAAAAATGTTGAGGACAACATGACATAAGTCTCATTTCTGTATTGATAGACCAGGTATTGTTAACATTATAAATACAATTTAGAAAGGCAGGTGATTATGATGCCTGAGAGTATGGCATGGCAATTGTGAAGTTGTAATAATGACAATGATGATGCCGAAGCTGAAAATGATAAGGAAAGTGATGAAAATGTTAAAGATATTGAGAAGATAGATGAAGATGCCAACAATACTTTTGCATAGCTGAACAGGAGCTTTACTGACAAAAAAAGTATCTCCTACAAGCTCCATCTTTAGTAAACGACCAACATTATATGATGGTTTCTGAAAATATTGCTTATTTAACCTTGGATGAATGTTGTTTGCACTTGTACCCCCTCAATACATTTCCCCTGATTTATATTCCTTTCTACTTCAAAACATTCTAAATTACAACATAAACAAACACAGTTATGTACCATGTTATCATCAGCCATTTACGCTCCAGAGAGGCTACCCTGAACTCCAATAGGCTAGTTATGCCTACCTCTGGCAATTACAGAGGATTTGACATTTTTGACACTTTATAAAATGTTAACAATCCAAAATGCAATGTTAATTGTCTTTTAACTTTTCAGTCAAAAAATGTAGTGTCTTGATTTTCTGCATCTTCATACTCTCGGTCTTCACTGCGGGAGCCGATTTCCCATTTTCTGGGTAGATATTATATTTCGTTAACAAGGCTAGATCGATGAATTATCTCAATAAAGCATGGAAATGGTGTTTGACGTTTGTGCGCCAAACATAAAAATTAAGTTAATCCTAGAAAATGACGAACATGGGCTCATTCAAAGAAACAAGATTTATCATTTAAAACAATCAACAAAGTGCAAAGATTGATCAATTCGGAGAGATTCACGATCCTCTAATCCCCATCAGCTATAATCAATTCATTTCTTTAACCAGTTAGTTGATCTGATAATTCCCCATTGCCGACTTCTTCAACTTCACCTATATAAATTATCTTTGTTTTCATATCTCGATCAACTCAATCAATACAATTTCAGACCCAGTTCTGAGATAAACACGTCATACCCATCTCATATTCTGAGGAAAATGTCATATTGGTCATGTCTATTCCACGCTTTTTCTCTCTAAAATTTGAATGAACTGTCTGATTTTCTATATTTCTACATCCTTCAGAGTGTTGACTAAATGGCTGTATACGTTTTTCCTTGCTTATTTCACCCTTTTTCACTCTATTTTCCAATTTAAAACACCACCCTGATGTATTTCTTGGGAAGGGAGCTTAATTCCAATGTTGGTCTTAAATAGCCATGTGAACTGCATACTCAAGCTCTTGAATTTGATGAACTGACAAAATAAACATCTTTTTATAAATACCCTTACAAAAAACAGCAAAATACTAGAAACAAACAAAAGGTTTTTGTACGTTTTTAGTTTTGTAAGGGTTGAGTGATTCCAAAGGCAACAACTTTAACCCCATAAATAATTTTCATAAAAACTTGTACCAATCAATAACATTGTCTTTGAATTACGAAACTGGTTGATGCGCTTAAGCTTGGCCTTTATTGCTGTGTACAATAAAGTCATCATGAATCGTAAAACAGTCGATAAAAAATGATAAAGAAGGTAATCTTTAATATTAGCCTCTCTTACCCTTTGTTATTCAGATAACAAAGCTGATGAATTGAAGGTTAATGATAACCCACATCTTCTGATATGAATCAATACATTGCTCAACTTCCACCCATACAATTTTGGATCACATGATGAAAAATTATCGAATATTCATGGAAACCCATGTAATTTTTAGGATTGCCAATAAGGAAATTTTACCAAAAATCAAAAATTAAATCAGTAAGTGAAAGAAAGTTTGGTATTATAATTAATAGAATTCTAATTATATTTAATAGAATTTTGTCACTTAATTACCCCTTGGGAAACAAGCACTCCAGGTATGTCATTGTTTCCTCAAGATGTTGTCATAGCGACATGTTAGTAACAACCCATTAAATAGAGATTATTAAATTCTGTTACCATCGCCTCCGTATTTTGTAATTGCTCTTTATGTTTGCAATAACCTCGATAACAAAAAACATTCACGCAATGAACTGACAGCAAAAGCATCCTCAAATATCAATATGTAATAGAAAAACACATTCAGCAATCTATTATCATCAAAAAGTGCATATTTAAACAAAACAGTAGCGAACTGTTCATTGCGACCTAGAAATAAGCAAGGCGACCTTAGGTGGTGACTGTAACCCAGAAATCTACCATAAGCAACAGTGTGACCCAGGAAACTTACAATCGTGACCCGTACGGGTACCAGGGTGACCCGGGAGATTACAAAGCGACCTGTAAAGTAACAGAATGACCCCAGAGCCTGTAGAACGTCATGAGAAGCTCACACAGTGACCATATGGGAATCAAAGTGACCCAGGTACATCCAATATGCCCCTTTAATGGTAGAATCACAGTCAGAATGACTCAAAATTCAAGTTAAGCTTACAGTTGATCAGAACACAACTTATAATCCCTAAAATGCTAAGATCTAGAATCAAATAAAATAGACAATTTTTACAAATATTAATCCTGGAAAATAATAATAACAATGATTTATTTTGATACAACAGCTGCCAAAATGCTTTAAGAGTCTATAAATTCAGAATTGAACAGAATAAATATTATTGGTTGAAACATGAATGGATGATAAGTATACATAATAGTGAAGCTTCTCCCGTGGGAGATGATTTAAGGAGATTCTTATCCTGAAGGAGATATTAAACTTTAGCACTTTAATTGAAGATTCATATAGCACATATTAAACACTTTCGATTAAAAGGTAGATAGCATAATTAGTCTGGTATCAATATTACCCCTCTCCTTAGCATAAGATGAATATGTGGGTGTGGCTCTGGGGGTGGGGAGGAGAGTATGTGGGTGTGGCTCTGGGGGTGGGGAGGAGAGTATGTGGGTGTGGCTCTGGGGGTGGGGAGGAGAGTATGTGGGTGTGGCTCTGGGGGTGGGGAGGAGAGTATGTGGGTGTGGCTCTGGGGGTGGGGAGGAGAGTATGTTGGTATGGCTCTGGGGGTGGGGAGGAGAGTATGTGGGTGTAGCTCTGGGGGTGGGGAGGAGAGTATGTGGGTATATCTTTGTGTGAATGGAAGAGAGTATGCGGGTGTGGCTTTGGGAGTGGGAACACAGTATTTGGATGTAGTTCTGGGGGTGGGGAGGAGAGTACATGTATGTGGATATGGTTCTGGTGGGAAGGTGGGGGAAGGTGGGGGAAGGTGGGAGGGGAGACTGAGAGAAACTACAATGTAGTTAGTTCATCTAACATAAACTACATTTCTTGCATTTCCATACAATAATATCAAAATGTTCACTTCTCTT